TTTGGAAGTTGTTCAGTAGTGTAACGAGATTCCCATTACAACGTTTAAATGTATGGTGTGGCGCTTTTAAATGTAGATCACGTATAAGCGCCAGTGAGGTTATCACAAACCTTTTATTTAAATACCGTTCAGTCAAGCAAAACAGATAGTAAATAGTGTAAAGGTAGTATGGCCAGAGGCTCGTGTGTTTATTTGTGTAGCAGCGTAGCCATTAACTTGTCACTCGACCGATAAGGGTTGAGAAATACTACACATCTCGCAGTTACTAGTTTAGTGTACATTTTGTTTTCATCAATCAATCATTTTTTTTATTCCTCCAATGAGAGATTTTAAGTACAAAATACAATGAATATTCAGAACATATATACAATGTTCTACTTTCCGTGGAACTATTCAGGCATCACATTTGTCCATAATAATGTCTTTGTATTGGTGATTTAATCCACTTGCAAGATTGTTATTATCCACAGAATTAGAAAGGAAAACATTTATTTGATTTGGTAGCGTGCATTGAAATATAAGATAATGGTCCAAATAACACTCTTAGGAATTCTTCGCGCGCAGATTATCCAAATATGCAAATAGATCGGTCCCGAAGTGTTCTATGATTTGCGTCACATATAGGTCACGGACATCGGCAGTAACCTTACATGTTGTAATAAGATGCAACACTACATCAATATACAACCGTCCGCACATCTGACAGTTAGTAGTCTCAATATAATTTGGCGGACATGTTAGAATTTTGCAAATAAATTTGACATCAGCAAGCTCTTTCTGTGTAGTCGGTACAGCCCATAGTATATATGGAGTGTAGTCGGTACAGCCCATAGTATATATGGGGTGTAGTCGGTCCAGCCCATACTATATATGGGGTGGAGTCGGTACAGCCCCTAGTATATATGGGGTGTAGTGGGTACAGCCCATAGTATATAAGGGGTGTAGACGGTAAAGCCCATAGTATATATGGGGAGTAGTCGGTACAGCCCATACTATATATGGGGTGGAGTCGGTACAGCCCCTAGTATATATGGGGTGTAGTCTGTACAGCCCATAGTATATAAGGGGTGTAGTCGGTACAGCCTATACTATATATGGGGTGTAGTCGGTCCAGCCCATAGTATATATGGAGTGGAGTCGGTACAGCCCATAGGATATATGGGGTGTAGTCGGCACAGCCCATAGTATATATGGCGTGTAGTCGGTACAGCCCATAGTATATATGGGGCTGAGTATCCTTTGTCGTGTATGTCTTTAAAATAAAAAAAAATCCACTTATCAAGTCGGAATTGTGTTTTCTGCTGGAATTGGTAGAGTCGCTTCAAGAATATCTGTTTCGATAGTGAGTACCCCGGAACACATATCAAAGTACAAAGGACGTTCCTTTTATCTATTTCAGAATTCAGTCTTGGTAGTCCTAGCATAGTGTTACGTATGTCTGACCGGGTCATATTATAGCTTTCTGTTATAACCAGGGGATTCATAAATTTACAATCTCCTCCGAATTTTGATGTGACGTTAAAAGCGTTCCGACCTTTATGCATCCATTAGTTACTACCACAGCACTTTCTAGATCGGTAGATATTATTACGCCAACATGTTTATAGGAATCGGCGATCGGTAGCGTCCTGTTCATAATCTTCCATTAAAACTCGATATGCTTATTTCGTCCTTGTCCAAATATAAGAAATGAACACGTTTCGGCATTGTACTGGAAGTTCCATGTCTCCGCGTATGCCGTACATATATTCAGCAGTTTTGTTGTCGTTAAGATTTGAATTTGAACTTCGACGTTTCATCGCTTATAGGGTTACGACAATATAACAACAAAACCCCTTGTAATCTGTTTGACTATCAGGGCCGACATAAAGATCACTACTCGGAGCCGTAAGCGCGTTGTGTTTTAAGATGCTCTGTTTCTGAAGTTTTTTGTTTGACTTTGACAACGGTAGAGTTGGCCCGGACTCGATCCAGACTTTACCCTCTGGTGTACCCTTATATGCAAACAGTGTTTACATAAGACCAGTCCCGATGAAGGATACCGAGGTAGTCAACGTCTCCATATATAGCCTCTGGTATGCCGAGCTATAGTGTCTGGGTGTACAATAGTTCTCAGCACCTTAGATGATAGATTAAGGTCGCCGATCGGTAAAAATATTGTACACATACAGGATTGTACAAATAACATCCTTGCATTTTCTTGTTGGTGAACGGATTGGATTTCGATGAGAACAGGAGTTTCACAGCTCTGTCAGCTTTAAATTTCCGTCTGGTGTGACAGTTACGATAGTAAACCTGATACTTGTCTTTTGCGATCTAAAATGAAGGTAAAGGACACATAGGGTACAATGGTTGATGACTGTTTGCTGTTGTGTGAGGGTTGGGGGTTACTCTGGGTTCATTAAGTCGTATAGAGAAGGATAAATGCTCTGGGTTCACTAAATCGTACAGAGAATGATAAATGTCTGCTGTTGTGTGTGGTTTGGGGGTTACTCTGGGTTCACTAAATCGTATAGAGAATGATAAATGTCTGCTGATGTGTGTGGTTTGGGGGTTACTCTGGGTTCACTAAATCGTATAGAGAATGATAAATGTCTTCTGTTGTCTGTGGTTTGGGGGTTACTCTGGGTTCACTAAATCGTACAGAGAATGATAAATGTCTGCTGGTGTGTGTGGTTTGGGGGGTTCTCTGGGTTTACTAAATCGTACAGAGAATGATAAATGTCTGCTGGTGTGTGTGGTTTGGGGGTTACTCTGGGTTCAATAAGTCGTATAGAGAAGGATAAATGCTCTGGGTTCACGAAATCGTACAGAGAATGATAAATGTCTGCTGGTGTGTGTGGTTTGGGGGGTTCTCTGGGTTTACTAAGTCGTACAGAGAATGATAAATGTCTGCTGTTGTGTGTGGTTTGGGGGTTACTCTGGGTTCACTAAGTCGTATAGAGAAGGATAAATGCTCTGGGTTCACGAAATCGTACAGAGAATGATAAATGTCTGCTGTTGTGTGGGGTTTGGGGGTTTCTCTGGGTTCACTAAATCGTACAGAGAATGATAAATATCTGCTGATGTATGTGGTTTGGGGGTTTCTCTGGGTTTACTAAGTCGTACAGAGAATGATACATGTCTGCTGTTGTGTGGGGTTTGGGGGTTTCTCTGGGTTCACTAAGTCGTATAGAGAAGGATAAATGCTTTGGGTTCACGAAATCGTACAGAGAATGATAAATGTCTGCTGGTGTGTGTGGTTTGGGGGTTACTCTGGGTTCACTAAGTCGTATAGAGAAGGATAAATGCACTGGGTTCACTAAATCGTAAAGAGAATGATAAATGTCTGCTGTTGTGTGTGGTTTGGGGGTTACTCTGGGTTCACTAAATCGTACAGAGAATGATAATGTCTGCTGTTGTGTGTGGTTTGGGGGCTACTCTGGGTTTACTAAGTCGTAAAGAGAATGATAAATGTCTGCTGTTGTGTGGGGTTTGGGGGCTACTCTGGGTTTACTAAGTCGTATAGAGAATGATAAATGTCTGCTGTTGTGTGTGGTTTGGGGGTTACTCTGGGTTCACTAAGTCGTATAGAGAAGGATAAATGCTCTGGGTTCACTAAATCGTACAGAGAATGATAAATATCTGCTGATGTGTGTGGTTTGGGGGTTTCTCTGGGTTTACTAAGTCGTACAGAGAATGATAAATGTCCGATGTGTGAGGTTTGGGGGTTTCTCTGGGTTTACTAAGTCGTACAGAGAATGATAAATGTCTGTTGTGTGTGGTTTGGGGGCTACTCTGGGTTCACTAAGTCGTACAGGGAAGGATAAAGTTCTGCTGTTGTGTAAGGGTTGGGGGTTACTGTGAGTACAGTAATTTCTAGAAAGGGCATTTAATGTATACCTTTGTGTTTGGTGTTATTTCAATGTTGATTCAGGAAGTGCATTGCAACCAATGCACATTCTGCATTTTCAGTATAGGTTTTTATACGACCACTAAACATTTCGCACCAGAGAACTTAGATGAAAACAACCTGTAATTTATTCCATCCTGTTGTGAGTTAGATAAATGCAGTGTTTCCGTTCAGATTTCACTAAGGTATAAGTGATCACAATACACAGATTCCTACCAGGAACTGTCGTGAAATGAAATGTATTGTATACCTTAAGTGTCGTATTGTGCCGACTAGGCTATATTTACATACCACATGACAATACTTATGTCTCTATATCGGTATATGTTTTCACATGTTATACTTATCTGTAATCAAATTACGTCGTGTGCGGATTTAAGCTTATAAAATCATACAAAAAATTGAAGCGGAACTCTCAAATATTGCACCTTCGGCGGGTGGTATGACTATCAATGTAGTATTGAGAAGAATGACGATGGTGTTGTACTCCGTGTGTTCTATGTACACGTATGTGTAATACCCATTTGAATGTGGAATGGTTGTTTTATATATTTTTGGTCATACCTTGCCTCCTTTTATCACTGAATACACCTCTAACTGATACTGATTGCTAACTGACTAAGGTATCTCTTCTGATTCTCCCTCGCTGGAGATGTATACATGTTTCTTCTGCTCCTCTAGTACATTCTGATATCAAAAATATACTATCTGCTGTAACGATTTGGTGTCATTGATTACACCGATATCATAGAAAAGCTGTAGAACACAAACAGTGCAATGGGATGCGTTATTGGGTTTGTTTTACACGAACAGTGCAATGGGATGCTTTATTGGGTTTGTTTTACACGAACAGTGCAATGGGATGTGTTATTGGGTTTGTTTTACACGAACAGTGCAATGGGATGCGTTATTGGGTTTGTTTTACACGAACAGTGCAATGGGATGCTTTATTGGGTTTGTTTTACACGAACATTACAACAGAATAATCTGTCGAGCTTGCCTTTCAGAAACAGTGCAATTTGAAGAAAAAAATGAATTGCACGTGGGAAGAAAGACAACGTAATACAATGGCGTAATATTTAATATCGTTTCTGTTTATTTTCTGCAGGTTTGACCCCTACCAAGTTTTTGAGGTGAGTAAAACTCTTTATCCCGATAACAATGTAATATTTTACTGCTACTAGGCAAACATAATCGCCAGGATCGAAATCATACTGTAATACCCCTGTATTCAACTCTGACAAGTGTTATTATATTATAGCTGAAACATAAACCATTATTGTCGGTAGTATTATGAACTGTTCCTACATATTTTAATAGTGGCATCAATTTAAATCCCTTTAATAATATACATCATTTATATTTTCGCTCTGTTTAATTTGTGAAACTACTGTTACAAACTATACATAACAGGAATAACGGTCGTTTGAAGATTGCAGGTGCACATGTCATTATACACAAAGCCATATAACTGTAACCTACACAATTAACATGCAGGTGCTTTATCACCGTGCGTGTATGAGATGACGTTGTTACATGAATCATATTGATATTTTTTTTTGCGAATAGATATAACATGGTACTAGTTAGGAAGGCTAGAATAGATATAACATGATACTAGTTAGGAAGGCTAGAATAGATATAACATGGTACTAGTTAGGAAGGCTAGAATAGATATAACATGGTACTAGTTAGGAAGGCTAGAATAGATATAACATGGTACTAGTTAGGAAGGCTAGAATAGATATAACATGGTACTAGTTAGGAAGGCTAGAATAGATATAACATGGTACTAGTTAGGAAGGCTAGAATAGATATAACATGGTACTAGTTAGGAAGGCTAGAATAGATATAACATGGTACTAGTTAGGAAGGCTAGAATAGATATAACATGGTACTAGTTAGGAAGGCTAGAATAGATATAACATGGTACTAGTTAGGAAGGCTAGAATGATATAACATGATACTAGTTAGGAAGGCTAGACTAGATATAACATGGTACTAGTTAGGAAGGCTAGAATAGATATAACATGATACTAGTTAGGAAGGCTAGAATAGATATAACATGATACTAGTTAGGAAGGCTAGAATAGATATAACATGATACTAGTTAGGAAGGCTAGAATAGATATAACATGATACTAGTTAGGAAGGCTAGAATAGATATAACATGATACTAGTTAGGAAGGCTAGAATAGATATAACATGATACTAGTTAGGAAGGCTAGAATAGATATAACATGATACTAGTTAGGAAGGCTAGAATAGATATAACATGATACTAGTTAGGAAGGCTAGAATAGATATAACATGATACTAGTTAGGAAGGCTAGAATAGATATAACATGATACTAGTTAGGAAGGCTAGAATAGATATAACATGATACTAGTTAGGAAGGCTAGAATAGATATAACATGATACTAGTTAGGAAGGCTAGAATAGATATAACATGATACTAGTTAGGAAGGCTAGAATAGATATAACATGATACTAGTTAGGAAGGCTAGAATAGATATAACATGATACTAGTTAGGAAGGCTAGAATAGATATAACATGATACTAGTTAGGAAGGCTAGAATAGATATAACATGATACTAGTTAGGAAGGCTAGAATAGATATAACATGATACTAGTTAGGAAGGCTAGAATAGATATAACATGATACTAGTTAGGAAGGCTAGAATAGATATAACATGATACTAGTTAGGAAGGCTAGAATAGATATAACATAATACTAGTTAGGAAGGCTAGAATAGATATAACATGATACTAGTTAGGAAGGCTAGACTAGATATAACAGATATAATTGGTACTGCGATCCTTATGTGCAGAAAGTGGCCTGATTAGTATATTGTTTTATGTAAATAGTCTGTGGCGGTGAGGGGATAGTATACTAAAGCTATCCAACGGGGAGACGGGAGGGGATAGTATATTAAAGCTATCAAATGGGGAGACGGTGAGGGGATAGTATACTAAAACTATCCAATGGGGAGACGGTGAGGGGATAGTATACTAAAGCTATCCAATGGGGAGACGGAGAGGTAATAGTATACTAAAGCTATCCAATGGGGATACGGTGAGGTGATAGTATACTAAAGCTATCCAATGGGGAGGCGGTGAGGTGATAGAATACTAAAGCTATCCAATGGGGAGACGGTGAGGTAGTAGTATACTAAAGCTATCCAATGGGGAGACGGTTAGGTGATAGTATACTAAAGCTATCCAATGGGGAGATGGTGAGGTGATAGTATACTAAAGCTATCCAATGGGGAGACGGTGAGGTAATAGTATACTAAAGCTATCCAATGGGGAGACGGTGAGGTGATAGAATACTAAAGCTATCCAATGGGGAGACGGTGAGGGGATAGTATACTAAAGCTATCCAATGGGGAGACGGTGAGGGGATAGCATACTAAAGCTATCCAATGGGGACACGGCTTAGGTTTCTTATTGAACTTAAAACGACAAACATATTGTTAGTGTAACGGGTCTCTGTTACAAACATTTTAGTTAATTTGTATCTGCGTGAAAAAGCAAAATATGTACTTGAAATTATTTCACAAATTGCGTTAACAAGTGACAAGACAAATACTGATAAAGGTTTGGACGTTTATGTTTAGTTTTGGAACCATTGATAATATCCCCCTTACACACAGTTTTAAACAAGTTATTAAATACAAAACAACGAAGATACAGTTCATTTGCACGGATATAAGCACTTCACGAGTGTTAGCCTGTCCTTAACAGGAAATGGACACTTGTCGAAAGACTTGCCGTGGTAACACACGACCGCGTGACGTTGTACTTGATGACATTGGGTGTCCTGTTTAATGTAGTTACAGCCTACATATGTACTAATGCCGTTATAACCATTGATAATACGTACATGTCAATGTTTAACCTTGTACAGAACTCTACAGGGAAGTAAAATGGCAAACTCCAAAGTCGACTCCTGAACCATTGAAATCACGTGTTATTATAAGCCTTGAACAGGAACTTTCCTTATGTCGGTCATATAGAAAACCCTAATTAATAACACCACTTCTACGTCTTTGATATCCCGACTAACGACGTGTCTGTATGGGTAATATCTCAGCGTTTATATACCTGAAGTATTCTACCAAGTAGAAACAGCGTCGATTCCGGCCCACCCCTGTCTCAGTAACGAGCTCACAACATGTCAATATCAGTCTTAGTAACAACACGACATCCGGTCTTACCTAGTCAGCCTTAGTAGCGACGTCACAATATGTCAACATCAGTCCTAGTAACGACGTTGCATCAAGTCAATCCCTATCGTAATAACAGAGCCGCACATTGTTAAATAATGTCTACACATTGTCACATAATGTCTACATATTGTTACATAATGTCTACATATTGTCATATAATGTCTACATATTGTCACATAATGTCTACATATTGTCATATAATGTCTACACATTGTCACATAATGTCTACACATTGTCACATAATGTCTACTCATTGTCACCTAATGTCTACACATTGTAACACAATGTCTACACATTGTCATATAATGTCAACACATTGTCATATAATGTCTACACATTGTTACATAATGTCTACACATTGTCATATAATGTCTACACATTGTTACATAATGTCTACACATTGTCACATAATGTCTTCACGTTGTCACATAATGTCTACACATTGTTACATAATGTCTACACATTGTTACATAATGTCTACACATTGTTATATAATGTCTTCACGTTGTCACATAATGTCTACAACGGGAATCAAAACAGCGTCGCATAACGTCCACCTAAGTCATATAAAGCCCGGTGAAATGTGTTTTTCACGTCATACCAAAAGTAATCCCGACTTTCTACGTAAGCGATGTATATCTTAACAAATCAATAGGATGTCGCTCAGGTTTTAGCGTTATCTGTAAACTGTGATCGGGGAAAGACTAGAGGATCGATAAAACAAACCTATACCTAAGTTATGTAAAATACCCCCGTGACTTGTTAAGATCTTTGAGCTGTTATTTGATGTTTCTCACTGACAGCCTAGGTAAGTTTCCGTACAGACAACTCTGATTTAACGTAAACCGTTACACCGCATGTACAATACACGTATACGTAATTATACACAGAGGTAAGAGGACGAGGCCAAGATGTTGTCATTCAGTTAAAGGTAACACATTGTGTATATTTAGACGTTAACTCGACAGTAACACCTAGGGGCTGTATCAAAACAGGAAAATTCAGAGCGAAACCGAGTTTTCGAGATTTTTTAATTGAAATTACGTTGTATGTGTATAAGGAACGTTATATGAAATCAACGATTCGTGACGTTAGTCAGTGAAGAGGAACAGTTAATACATCGCTTGAAAGAAAACGTTCAAATGTATCAGATTTGTTAGTTTTTATTGTCATATACATATAATACACTCACACTGACTATGCGCTGTTAGCCGTCGCCGGCATGTTTGTTTGTCCAGACGCTAGACAGATATACTATAGAACTGACTGTGCGTGACGTACATACATTATAACAACATACCAAAAACATTTTACATAACCGGTTGTTATCCCTGAAATACGTGTTTCCCTTTTAAAACATACGTGCCACAGACACCGATTACAATGTATGTATAAATAAATCAGAAAAAATGTCATTGGAATACTAAGATCGGTGGGTTTACCTATTGTACACACTGATAATATTGCATACTCTATACTTAGAGCCAAATTTCATTTTGCATTTCTTTATTCCATTTCTGACTGTTGTGAAATTTGAATATTTCTGTTTGGATATGCAATGTATAATGTTCTCAACGGTAACATTAATTGTTATATTTGCCCATTACAGGTAGAACACAAGCCATGCCTGATCCTCACAGTGCGGGTCCTGTGTGGACGGAACATAACGAAGGGCTGGCTGGATATATGTACGTCTTATAGTTCCTCAAAAGTCAAATCATATTGTGTAAACCTATAAGTGTAAGGGCGTAAATGTGCTCGTTACTTCTTTGCCCCCGCTGTCTGATCTGATCCTGTTTTTGCTGTCTTTGTGTCGCACCAACCCAAGCTCTTGTTTGTGTACACTGTTATGTATTTGCTAATTAAATTACCCAAACTTTTCATGAATTTCGAAAAACCAAGAAAGTGAAATAGTTCTTATTTGATGCCTGTCTTTTCAGACTGTGGTTTAGAAGTTGCAATAATATGCTAACCTATGCTTTCAGTGGACACACCAGACCCTTATATAGCGTTAAGGATCCGGACGGCACCCGAGGGTCGCCGAAGGACTGCCGCAATTGATAACGAAGTCAACCCTGTCTGGGCAGAGGACTTCACTTTCCTCCTCGACGAACAGGAGCATAATGAAATCCGTAAGTTTTAGGTTTGTGTAGTTTACAGAACACGTCAGTAGGTCAACGGCTACCGTATGACCCTGGTTGTGTGCTATTTTGCCCTATTCCCATAGTCCATTGAATACTCATTACTGGGAAATAAGCTGGATTATCTCCAATTTCCTCACTCCTGACTCATTTGATAAAATTTGTGGAAGTTGTTAACAGTTTTGGTTACCCATTTGGTGTTACTTCATTGTCCGATCTTCTAATTTTGACGTCATGTACCGTCATTGTTCCTGGGGTTGTTTTCCTGATTGGAAACAGGAATACTGTATTTCCAAGAGAAACGTATTGTTTTTGTTTTAGATATAAAACCTGAACGTTGTGGGGAAAAGGTTCCCAAAATCATGATGGATGGTTATCAGTCCTCTTACTCTCGTAAGTTACTTTTCAATTTGTAAGAGACACTTTACAAATTGAAAATTAACTTTGAAACTGGGGTAACATGCATGCACAAACATTTCTCACATTTTCCTCCTTTTAAACCTTAGGCCATATGGACCCTCCAAGGGAGTGTCTGCTAGTGTTCTATTGTCAACCTAAGGCCCTATGGTTCTATGGACCCTCCAAGGGAGTGTCTGCTAGTGTTCTATTTTCAACCTAAGGCCCTATGGTTCTGTGGACCCTCCAAGGGAGTGACTACTAGTGTTCTATTGTCACCCTAAGGCCCTATGGTTCTGTGGACCCTCCAAGGGAGTGCCTGCTAGTGTTCTATTGTCAACCTAAGGCCCTACGGTTCTGTGCACCCTCCAAGGGAGTGTCTGCTAGTGTTCTATTTTCAACCTAAGGCCCTATGGTTCTGTGGACCCTCCAAGGCAGTGTCTGCTAGTGTTCTATTGTCAACCTAAGGTCCTATGGTTCTGTGGACCCTCCAAGGGAGTGTCTACTAGAGTTCTATTGTCAACCTAAGGCCCTATGGTTCTATGGACCCTCCAAGGGAGTGTCTGCTAGTGTTCTATTGTCAACCTAAGTCCCTATGGTTCTGTGGACCCTCCAAGGGAGTGTCTGCTAGTGTTAGATTGTCAACCTAAGGCCCTATGGTTCTGTGGACCCTCCAAGGCAGTGTCTGCTAGTGTTCTATTGTCAACCTAAGGCCCTACGGTTCTGTGCACCCTCCAAGGGAGTGTCTGCTAGTGTTCTATTTTCAACCTAAGGCCCTATGGTTCTGTGGACCCTCCAAGGGAGTGACTACTAGTGTTCTATTGTCACCCTAAGGCCCTATGGTTCTGTGGACCCTCCAAGGGAGTGACTACTAGTGTTCTATTGTCACCCTAAGGCCCTATGGTTCTGTGGACCCTCCAAGGGAGTGTCTACTCGTGTTCTATTGTCAACCTAAGGCCCTATGGTTCTGTGGACCCTCCAAGGGAGTGACTACTAGTGTTCTATTGTCACCCTAAGGCCCTATGGTTCTGTGGACCCTCCAAGGGACTGTCTACTAGTGTTCTATTGTCAACCTAAGGCCCTATGGTTCTATGGACCCTATTAAAGGAATGTTTAATAATATGCTACTGCCAGCCTAATCTGCAGGGCTCTATTGACCCTTCCAAGGGAGTGTCATAAAACCTACATTGATTTGTGTTTTTCCGAACTATTGTTATTTACAACATATGTACTTTATTCAATAGGCTGTTGGCTCTGTTTCAGAAATTTCACTGATGGAGGCCAATCCCGGTCAGTTTGATCAGAAGATCGGCGATGTCTGGTTCGACCTCACAGATATACCGAGAGGGAAAACAGTACAAAAAACCTTCTTATATAACGAGGTGAGACAGTGGTATCTGCGACTAGCTAACGAAGACAAGCCCTTCTTACATATGTTTAATACATCTTTCAGTTTATTTTCATTGTTTTACAATTTGTTAAGTTGTAAAGAACAAAACGAAATAACATGAACAATATCAGGCGCAAATCTTCACAATGTCTTGCCGACTAGTTAATGATATAGCGTGAAGTCATGACGCGTTTAATTTCATAGTTAAAACTGTGTTTATTAATTTATTATGATTGTAGTGTTTGATTTATTGACAACTTTCTGTTCCTACAGGTATCAGAAATAGACATGGAATTTGAAACACATATTGAGTAAGTATGAGGGTTTCAAATAAATAAAATAAATGTTATGTCGCCTGTGAAATAGGTAGCTAAGCATTGTAATGTTTTCCATGACAATTGTATTAGCGCAACGTAGTAAACTTCCTGTTTCAGCGTAAACTTGTGAATTTCAATTGAGGAAATTCACATTTAAATAAATATTTCACTTTAAAAAAATTCACGAACATTGAATAGTGAAGCTTTTTTTCTGTAACCTATTTGAAATGTTTAAATGATCTAACGGCGATGAGTATTAATCACAACACGTCGTACATAAGAACGATGATACGTTTATTATTTTCGGCTCTTTTTATATCATACTTGTTTAATCACTACACTATGTGGGTATTTCAGTGCTATGATTTCCGAATAAATCTAATATTGTGATAAACTCATAATAAAGTATATATCTGGCAGTAAACAATAAATCTTCTATTTATTGAATTCGGAACTATTGCCTTTTATACTGAACCAGAGAGAAGCAGTTGTCATTTCAAATACTTTTTTTAGTTCAGAATGAAGTTAACCTAAGACTGCCACGTTTGTGTCCTGAAACTAGTATAACAAGGAAGTTACCGTTATCTTTAAACAAGTCCCTTGTATATGATGTATCCGTATACATGTAGTTCATCACTAAGTGCAACTTCATATTGATATAGACTTAACAATAGAAACACTTATCTGAGCGATTGTGCGTCGAACACTATTCATAACAAAAACCATATATGAGTTTGTTAACGGGAGATGTTTGATTTTTTAGCCAGGACCCCACACTGCGCTACAGTCTATGTCTTTGTGATGATGAAAAGGACTTTATTATTCGGCGGAAGGAGAGAGTGCGGGAGAGGATGGCGGAAATCCTCGGCGACAAAGGTCCCATGTCGGTTGATGAGGTGAACTTATTGTTTATACTCTTTCAGTAGTGCTATAGTAAAGCGAGACTACTTTGTGTTTACGCAAGGGATTCGTTTCACTATCATTGCAAAAGTTCCATTGTGAATTGTATAAACCATTCCATATAATACTGGTGTCTTCATCTTAACCAGTGCTGTGTTTTGGTTTCACTTTCAGCAATTATGTTAATGAGACATGTGTTATTAAACAAGAATGAAATGAGAAACATCATCAGCCAATCAATTATGTTAATGAGAATATGTGTTATCAAACAAGAATGAAATAAGTTTAAAACTAATGTAATTATACTTATATCCACAGGTGCCCGTAGTTGGAGTGATCGGGTCCGGGGGAGGGTTCCGCGCGATGGTCGGCTATAGTGGAGTGACCAAGGCTCTCGCCGACGCTGGCATACTGGACTGTACTACGTATATGGCCGGACTTTCAGGATCCTCCTGGTAAGTAGAATGTAAAAATAAACTACACAACATGAAAATGTCAGAGCATAGGGACAGAATAAGAATTGAAAGCTGAAAAGAAAAGCAAACAAGTGGAAGAGGGAATAAACATCAATGAAAAAGAAAAAACGTGGAAGAGGGAATGCACATTGAATGTTATAATGGTTATACTAATGATCGTCTTAATAAGAGATGATTAGTAATGTATTGTCGTAAAACTGTTTGTTTTCTATGTCACACTGTGTATAGTCAGTCTCTATATGTACCTTACGTATGACTACAAGGTGTGATTACTGAACCAACTCTAATTGTTACCTGAAATGTTGTGTTCAACATATAGTATTGACATTCCAGGTATTTATCAACATTGTACTCTCACCCAAAATGGCCTGAAATGAACCCAGGCGACATGCAAGATGAGCTGAAGAACAGCATAGATTCCAGTCTGATGTGGTTCTTGTCACCACAGAGTATATACAGGAACCTCGACCTGATCCTCCAGAAACGACAGAACGGTCAACCAATCAGTTTTACCGACATCTTCGGACATCTTGTTGGTGAAACTCTTATTAAAGACGTAAGTCTTTTCTTTGTTTCTGTAATGGTTTGAGGTGGGTGAGAAAACATTGTACCTGGTATTGTTCGTTGCTATTTGTCCTCCCTTTGTTTCTGTAAAGGTGTGAGGTGGGTG